AAATCAAGGAGATTGCATTGCATTAGACCATTTTAATAAGAAAACAAAGGTAGTTTCCCAAGCAAAAAGCTTTCCCATATCTAATTTCAGCTTCACTAGAGAATTAAAAATATATCATAATCAGGGCTTAAGTAATACTCTTAAAGCTGGGGTTTCTTTGAGGTGTGGTTTGCCTTATTTTTTGAAGCTTATAACTTGATTAGCATTAGATTTTGTCTGTTTGCTTGTGAGTGATCCCAGTGCCTTGGCTTGCCAGGGACAAAGTCCTTTTTCACAAAGGTGGAATGGCTTTTATATTTTCAAGCGATGATCATTCTTGCAACACAATGGCTTCTCTTGATGAAGTCTAATTAGACATCTATACACTGTCTTAGAAAACACATGGCATCAGTCAATATTTATGTTTATAAAGTGATAAAATATTTACTGAAGGAAATTCAGTATGTACACTACTGATCTCTGTTTTGATTTAAGAAAAGACATAATTCAAGTTGTCCCTCCAGGCTTATGTGCTATCTTGAGGTTGAAGCAGGTTTATTTTTTCACATTACATGTGACAGATGAGCATAATTCGTGCTTGTACCAACCATAGATTTCAGTTTCGCTGTGTGGGAATGTTTCAGTTCTATCAAGCATGACCAAGGTATATAGGACATAAAACTCAGGTCTTGTACTGCATCCTGGTAAGTATCTTATCACAGGGAGATCATTCACTTGTGTAAGAACATGTGTGGATTTGATAAACACTGTCATGTCTAGTAAATATCTGTGTTAGTTTTAAAATGAACATAAAATGTGTGTATATAAATGTATAACATCTCCATGTTATTTGCTAACAGTTATCTTTTATGTAAGTTATGAAAAAAAAGCTTTTGGCAAAATACTTCATTGTAGTTGAGGCTGAAATCAAACTGATTTGTTAATACCACTTAGTCACTTTTTTTTCTCAGGCATTTGGTATCTTGGCTAAGCCTGGCTAATACCTGTAAGTGTGAGTACTCTATAAGGATCTAAAAGAAACATAAAAGTCAGTAAGAGCTTCATCTTAATATGACAGAAATGTTTGTGGTGCTTGAGGACAGCAAGGTGGCTAGCAACCACTCCAGCACAGAGGAAGTATAATATAGCAAGGTTCCTGCTGTACTTACTACACACATTTCCTTAGTCATACATAGACCATATCAATGTTTTTATTTCATTTTTTTACTTAGGAGACCAGGTGCCCTAAAGTATTTTTTATGCTTTGGATAAACCATAAGAATGTAGAGCTTTATCAGTACAATGCACTTCTGTGGTAAACTATGAATAATATTTCCTTGTTAAGGGTAACGTAGAGGTGATTTGTAAATCAGTCTGTAGCTGGATGAGGATCTATAGTTGTTTTGGTTTTGTTTTTAGTTATGTGAGCGTAGAAAGAACAATTTATTTGAGTACCAGCTATCACCTTGTCAATGTTATCCTCCTGTAAACCCCTGCTATTCTTTTTATTGAAATGCAGCAGTAGGATGGAAACTGGGATTTCAGTGCTTTTGAACAGGTGCTGAGCCCAGCAACTTTCATTTGATTTCATTTGAGTTACACAGCCTCAGATCCCAGTGACAGCGGGGAGCCATGGCAGAATCCATGCACTGCGGCATCAGTGAATGCCGTTATAACGTGGTGCACTTTGATCTATTTAAATGCTCTGGGTAACTTTTAATTTTTTTTCTTCTGATATCTTCTTTTTGTTTATTTTTGTTTTTTTTTCGTTTAGTTTTGTTTTGTGTTCTTTATTGTTGGTTTTGCTTTTTTTTAAGACTACATAATATGTCATTTATGTCGATAAAAAGGACAGAGGCACTATTTTATTTGTGAAACAGTTCTCCCTCCTTTTAAAATTTGCTACCTATCCCTCTGCACAGTGCACCCATTGTGGAACATAGTTTTCTAGTCCAAGTGCTATTTCATCATGCGTATTCAACACATAGCTTGGCTTTGATATGAAAGACTTTTTGTTTAGTGGAGATGATACCTTGCTTAGGAGCCAGGAGTTTCTACAAAGCAAGCCAAAAAGTTAAACTTCATTAAAAAAAAAAAATATATATATATATAGTAATAAGTGTAGTACTTCATATTTTTTTAATAAAAATGTGCATTGAGGATATTCTTAGCAATTTTACTTGTGAATATTGGATTTGTTTGATGTTCTTTGATCAGAATATCTGTGCTTTTACTAATAGGTTGGTAAATACTTATCACTTTACCCTCAAGATAATGAGGAACTTAAGTTTTCCTCTGTAGACTTTGTTTTGTATTTTAAAAAGCTCCCCCAATAGTCTATTTATTTATTTATTTATTAACTTGCCCATTTAATTTCAGTAGAACGCAGAAGCGAATCTCCTCACAGAAACAGGTGATGTTGGAAGAGCTGATACACCATCTCTGGGACTAGAAAGATGGAACCTTAACAGCGCTTTTTTGTTTCTTCAGCTTTAATTGACAGATGCAGTGACAGGTTTGGAGGGGGTCATAAGAATCATAAACTTCTTCTCAAGTGAGCTGAGACCTTCTCAAGCTCCTGTAGAGAGAGGATGGAGCAGGAGATGGGTTTACGAAGAGGATGTCCTTGGTCACTGACCTGATTTCCCCTTTGGGCACCAGCAGCAGACTAATTCGTCTTGGCTTTTGCCTGGGAGGAGGCAGGAGATGCTGCTCCCTTGTCTCAGGAATCTCCAGCCTTGGCGCTGTGAACTGGAGACTGGGCTTCACTGCTTTGTATTTTGTGATACAACACACACACCTCTATTTTCTGCTTAAACTGCAGTGCCATTGGAACCATGACACAGGAGCGGCCACTGTGTGCTTTGTACGCAGTATCTTGTCTTCTTTAGAGCCACCTCTTCTAACTAGGCTGCTACACATCTGTGGTTAATTTGGGTCTAAAATCTTTCTAACTTCAATCTAATCACTATTCGATTATCTTAACAGATCAAGATTTAGGAAATACAGCTTTAAACCACTTGTTTTCACTTCCTACATAGAATCATAGAACAGCTAGGGTTGGAAACGACCGTAAGATCATCAAGTTCCAACACCCCTGCCATGGGCAGGGACACCTCACACTAAACCATGCAACCCAAGGCTCTGTCCAACCTGGCCTTGAACACTGCCGGGGATGGAGCATTCACAGCTTCCTTGGGCAACCCATTCCAGTGCCTCACCACTCTCACAGTAAAGAACTTCCTTCCTTCCTTATATCCAATCGAAACTTCCCCTGTTTAAGTTTTAACCCGTTACCCCTTGTCCTATCACTACAGTCCCTAATGAAGAGTTCCTCCCCAGCATCCCTATATGCCCCCTTCAGATACTGGAAGGCTGCTATGAAGTCTCCACTCAGCCTTCTCTTCTTCAGGCTGAAGAGCCCCAACTTTCTAAGCCTATCTTCATATGGGAGGTGCTCCAGTCCCCTGATCATCCTTGTGGCCCTCCTCTGGACTTGTTCCAACAGATCCATGTCCTTTTTATGTTGAGGACACCGGAACTGCACACAGTACTCCCAAGTGAGGTTTTACGAGAGCAGAATAAAGGGGCAGGATCACCTCCTTGGACCTGCTGGTCACGCTCCTTTTGATGCAGCCCAGGATATGGTTGGCTTTCTGAGCTGCAAGCGCACACTGAAGCCGGTTCGTGTTCATTTTCTCATTGACCAACACCCCCAAGTCCTTCTCCGCAGGGCTGCTCTAAATCTCTTCTCTGCCCAAGTAGCTGTGCCTGGGATTGCTCCGACCCATTTTCATTATGAAATATTGAAAAATCCAATGCGTTTTCTTCACATTTTGAGTATTCCTTGTGTACGCTGCCTTCAGCGATAAGGATTGCTAATGTGTATTTTCAAGAAAGAAATCTTCAGTCGATTTTTATTGTGTCGAGACTGAAAAAACCAGTGAAGGTCAGGTCTATTTGTAAACTTCATCCAGTTCAGCTAGGAAATAAAACAAGCTTTTTCAGTGATACTGATAATATTTCTCCTCAGAACAGAAGTGTATGTGGTGATTTCTGCTTTATCATTTTTGATAGTCTCCTTACTGTTGTTGGGGTTTTTGGTTTGGTTTTTTTTTAATAGTTTTGGAAGCTTTATTTTTGCTCAAATGTAATTAGCTGAACAGAGAACACTGTTTATTCTTGATCTGTTTGCTCTTCCACGCTCTCAGATTTGATGTCTCAAATGTATTTGGTTATGAATAGAATCAATCAAATAAATAAAGGGCAACAACTTCTATCTTTTCAGTTCTGCCATGGCACAGATGGTTTCAAAATTTATCTGAGAACTTATCTTTCTTACCGAGCTACCATAACAAAATAGAAAACGGCTTTGTTGTTTGCCCTGTCTTAAAAAGCCAGGAATACATTCAGCAACTGATTGTATTTCAGATTCCAAATTCTAGATTTTTGCTTTTCATTTCTCTGATAAAAAGCAAAACAATATTACAGAGCCATTCAGTTCTTGAAATGGGTAAACATTTCCCATAAAAACCAGCTCATTTTCAATTAATTGTAATAAGTTAACCATGCAAGGCAATGGTAATTCTCATGAAAATTTGACCTGGATCTGCTGAAAGCAGACACGCATTACTTGCTGCGGACCACCACCACGATGAGAGCAGCATCTGTCTGAGAAATCTATCAAATTATGTTATGGTTTTCAAACACCTACAGTATGTCTCCAAAGTCTGCTTCTCTTGTACTACTGTCACTCTTCTGGCGCTACCTGTATCAGCACCACAACAGCCCACTTTTCCTAGTGCCTTCTCGTTGCCTACACCCTAGTCCTTCCCCCAAAACAAGAAAAAAGTATTCTTAAAAACAAAACCCACTGTTTGAAATAGGTTGTGTTTAGTGAAGGTAGAGATGACTGAATGGAAACCCAGGCTTTTCATTCATGGTATGGTGCAGACCAATGCAAAAAATGCTCAAAAGTACGTATATTTACTACTAAAACCGTATTTCAAAATATGTTGTAGGACTTCGTCCCAAAAGGACTCTCCGCTTGGTGCTATGGACGGGAGAAGAGCAAGGAGGAATAGGTGCCGAACAATACTATCAGTTGCACAAGGTAAATCATGTCTTCAGTTTATTTGCTTGGCAGCACTTTTCTCCCTAGTCTGGTGAATTCCATATTATTTTTTGTTAAAAAGTTCAGCTTTCTAACTTAAAGTACAGATTCCAGTTCTGCCTGAAAGTGTATTTTCTGGTTATAATTATAAATGTAAACTTCATTTTACATTTAACAAAAAGTGATGTGACCACACATATACATGTTCTGCTTGACCCAAGATACTCTGTCATGAAACAGTTCTGAAACAGATATTTCATGATGATATCTGCCACAGCTGTCAAACATAGCTAACTTCCTGAGAATTAATGCCAAATGGTCCACATATGTTGGCAATATAAATAATTTTTGTTTGCTTTATATATTTCTGCTTCATTGCATTTCCCTGTTAATATTTTATGTTTTAAAACAAAAGATAATACAAAGAAAAATCCTTGTTGTCTTATCTTAATAATGTGTAATCTAAAGAACTCTTTGCCATTTATTAGTTTTATGTGATCTGGAACATTTTAAATGGTTGATTTCAGGTAATGCAAGGAGCACATGAACTCTGTGACTGGTTGTCAGGATAAAAATGTTGTGTATTGTCTCATCTGTTTCTCCTGCCAACAACCGCCTTTTCAAAGTACATCATGACATAAAGGGCAGTTGCATAAAACCAGTTTGGAGATAAATCATTGGAATATGTGTGGATTTTGATCTTGTTCCCCAGAAAAGTTATGCTGTACCTGTATGACTAAGATAAACTAGTTAGCTTTTATTGTTTTCCCTGATTTGCACTCTCAGTGATGGTTAATATTTCCAAGGTAGAGACAAGATGAATGCAGATGTGTTTAGGAAGTCACCTGCTGTACTTCCTACTGTATGAAAGCAGACTTACAAGCAATTCCTAAGAGTATGTTTTTAATGGTAAGCAATCTACCGGAACAAATAAATGGAAATTTCACTTTGAATCAAATTTATTGTGATGAATTAAACTCAGTCAATTTGCATCTGAAATAGAGTTGTCAGAGATAGCCTTACAGTGGTTATGGTTTTCTTGCTAAATGATGAACAGGCAATTATTTCCCACTAACTTGTTTACCATTATGAAGAAGTGTATTTAAGTACCCATATATAATGTAGTTCCTCCTTATATCACGAAATCATGGGAATAGCTCAGCTGTCCCATTTGGAAGAGAGCTTGGTTTCTCATTTTCTGAGAGGTAACAGGCTACAGTTTAGCATGCATTAAGGACTCTGGATTTACCAGTGGTATTCTGGTGTTCAGCAGGGTTAAGCTAGAATTGAATGTTCTGGAATATGTAGCACAGGGAAGATACGGTTCTGATAAAGAGAAGTGCAGTTTGGAGAAGTTGGAGGGATGCTCTGTGCCTAGTGCACGCTGTTAATGAGAAATGTATCATCACCATTTAGATTTCCATGTTGGACAATAAGCACCATCCTATGGTGGTGGTGTCAGCAACATATGGAATTGTCTCATGCATGTCTCATCTTTTGCCAAAGTGTCTGCATTTTGCTGTTGTCTCTAGGATTTATATTCAGAAGTAATATAAAAAAGCAGGCTTAAGGATTAAATAGGGAAATACAAACCAGGCTGGGTGTTGCTTGCAAGGTATTTGGTTACCTTTAAAAAATTGAGATAAAGGTGTGTCTCAATTTTTGCTCTGTAGATGAGATTCCATCTAGATGTTGTACTCTGTGAAGAAAACCCAGTCTAACTTAACAAGCGTTTATAATTTACACGGAGAATTTAAGCAGAAATGACATCCGTCTGTTGTTTGTTGTTCTTGTTTGCCCCCCTGCCATGTGATCAGGCATAATTATAAATTGATATGACTATAGGACATCACATTACTCATAATAACAAAATAAAGCAGATTAACACAGTACATTATATTTAGCTTGAAAAATAACCTTTTAATGATTTACTTCTGCAAATTTCTGGCAATTAGGGTAGTATGGCACAAACATTGCTTGCTGATGGTAATGAGTACAAGGTAAATAAGAATGGTATTTAAAGATGTCTTGTTAAATGAAAGATGCTCTGTATGACTCATCTACGTAGCTGGTCTTATTATGACATTAGTTTGCTACAAACAAGTAGAAATATGAATGCAGTAATTCAGCACAGACAGACATGGATTTCCTTGAGATTTTAAATTACTTTGTCATACCAGTGGAAATGTGCAAGGGAGAAGAAATGAAGACAATATAGTACTGGACAAGTACAAATACTCTTACTTTTGTATATTTATTATTTCTTTCAATTTAGTTTCAGATCTTTCTTCCTCATACTTCACTGTAGGTTGCCACTGCTAGAAAGTAGATAAGTTACTGCAGAAATAACTGAGATAACAGCAGCATAGTGGTTTTACTGTGGTGCAAATAATTAACTCTTATCCCTGCATCATAGCATTATTTATGTCATCCATGATTTTCCGTACATCCCAGTATTATAGTTTCTGATTGTTAAAACTAGCAATAGTGTATATTGGATGTTCAGAGCTCATCTGAGAATGTAAGAGCTGCCATAGTGGCTTCACCAAAAGCTCAGTCTAGTGCTGTCTCCTTATTCTGGTAGCATCCAGTAAGTAGGTTCTTAGGAATGGTATATTTGCCTGACTGCAGTCAGAATAAACTCAGGTAGATTACTCATGCAAACAGGCTTTCATGTTATCAAATATTTTTCAGGAGAGCATCTCATGGTCCTCATACATTGTTTTCTTTGTATGATCTGGAACTGGAATGGGTTGCTCAGGGAGATTGTGAATGCTCCATCCCTGGCAGTGTTCAAGGCCAGGTTGGACGAGGCCTTTGGGTGATATGGCAGGGGGGTTGGAACTTCATGATCTTAAGGTCCTTTCCAACCCTAACTATTCTATGATTCTATGATTCTATGATCTTCCTAAGACATGTCCAAGAGTTGAAAGCCAAGTATTGTCCAGCAGTTTCAGTGCCTCCATTAGTGCAGGGGGTAACTGCCTTTCACCAGTTACAGAGTGCCTGCTCAGTTTGTGGGGAAAACATCCTGGAGGAATCTCCAGCACCTGTGTTCCCAAAGGAGATACCCTCTGAAGTGCTCACTGCTTTTAACTTTTAGCCAATAATTACATTTAATCCTAGACTGAAAAAGGGCTTCATTTTTTTCTTTACAGTAAAGATTCCTTATATTGATAAAAGGTAATGAAATTAAAGGATCTAAGCATAAATCGGGCTCCAGATCTTGGGGTTTGACACTACACCTCGTGTCTTTGCCCAGTCCTTAGTGTTGTGTGACCCAGTTGGCAAGTAGGACTCTTAAGACAATACAGTAAATAGCTTTGAATATGTGAAACATTGCAACTGCTGCTTTCCTTTCCAAGTTGAATGGAAGAAGCAGGAGGAATATGATTTAGTAATTGCAGGGGATATCATATTGTGGCTATTCAGTACAGATTCTCTTACAACCTTTAACAACAGTACCTGAGAGCTGTTCAGTGAGGTATTTAAGTTTTTTTGTGTATTTACTCTTATGCTGTCTTCATGAGGGGAGAAAGAAGTGTGTGTCTGGCCTCCTTTCTGTTCCTCAGACTAGTTTCAGTGAAAGATCTGTATACCGTGAAGACATAGTATGTCTGTATACGCAGCTGAATTATAGGACTGATGGCTGATAATATTTATTTTGGATTAGAAGTATTTCATAAAATCTCCTGGAAAACCAAATCTATTTTGTAATTAGAAGACTAAGAGATCCCAGGCCACATTCAAATTTACTTTAGTAACTATGTTGAGATCGTTGGAGGCATTAATGTAATTTAGTTGAAATTGCATTAGAGAAAGCATTCTTTAAATATTTCTGCATGATTTTATTCCTGCCTTAATGATGATTACTTACCTACATTTCTGGTGCAAATGCCGTACACTGTTTTAACTTTTTAGTAAAGGTTTACCTTTATAAAAAGTATCAGTCACCAGCATTTGCTATGGTTTCATTTTTGGTTTTATTACCCAGAAGATTTCATATTTTGCCTAAACTGGGTGTGCATAAAAACAGGGCTTCTGAAATGCCGGTAGCTCATTGTTGCTAATTTAAAAACTTTGTTGATGCTCACATGAGGTTTCTGCTGTGATTTACTAATAAATTACTTTCTCTAAGAAGCAAATACAAAAAAAATTTCTTGTTGCTTTCAGGTGATTCTTCCCCAGAAAACAGTGGCTCCTCAAAACCAGAGTTTTCGGAAATTTCATGGATTTTAACATCCTGTTTATTTCTCAAGGTACCAAGTATGCTGGCGCAATGTGAGACATGGATTTGAACCAAACACATCAAGGACTTCGATGTGTGTTCCTTTATCCCAGCAAAATACGTCGACTGACAGTCTGTTGACTGTCCTGAAATATCCTCTGTAATCAGAAGTTTAAAAAGTTTAAATTACTGCTGGTTGTTTTGCCCACTGCTGTTCTGTTAATCCCTTTCATTGAGAAATTAAAGAAATGCATAAAGAGAGGTACAAAACTACAAGAAGAAAATAATTGCACTCTATTCTCCACAGTCAGAGTTAATAACCAGTAGCACCCTTGATTGTATTCAGCACAGTAAAGCTAGCATGGCTCTGGTTCTAGGTCAGTAAGAGTTCATAATTCTTAGTATTGAAGTGTCACATTCGCAGATTTTTCTAAAACCGTGTTGATTCCTCACCAGCTTCAGAGCTGCCATCTGAAACATGTGAACTCATGGAGACGTTTTCTGAGGATAGCTGCTCTGTTTTCATTCTCCAGGCAGATGTACCCAGCCACAGGTTCTTGCTGCTTTGGGATGTGCTGCTGTAAGAAAGCTGGGCTCCTTCTATTCAAACTTCTTGCAGCTGTGCAAAACACAGAAAATTGGTGCCTCTTGTTGACTCACAATGAACTTTCTCCTCACTGGCTTCTTTTCATTTTAACATTTCACCTCTACTTAGATGAGAACCCGAAACTGTTCTGCATAAACCTAGGAAATATTACCAATGTATGTGCTGTGGTAATTTCCAAGGTGTTGCCAATTTATTTTCATCTATCTGTTACTGAATGTTACAAAAGTACTAATTTTTCTTATTGAAAAAGTAAAAATCATCTTTGGCTGAAAGATGTAAACCACGATTTTGGCATTGTTGCCTATTCTCAAATTAAGCTAAAAGCTTTTCAAAAAGGACAGCAGTGGCTCAGTCATTCAGAATCATACACAGTGTTTTGATACTCTTGTATTCAAAAAAGGGCTTAAGCTTTGGAACGTTTTTCAGGAAAAGCACTTCTCTTTGATACACTCTTTGTCAAAGAAAAGACTTCCCAAGACAAGGCTTTAGGTAATCTGATGAATACCTACCTTAGCCTGCTGCTGTCTTCAGAGCTGTCTGCTGCTTCTTGTCTATTCTTCAGAGAACTTTCAATACTGAATGGTCATCTCTGTGAGTGCTGGCAAGTGGTTGCAGAGGAAACAGTAGCAGTATTGTACATGGCAAGACATGCTAGTAATATGTTTTTACTAAGTGAAATGCTAATAAGTACATGACCAGATCCTGCTCCAGGGCTGTTGAAATTAGGACTGTTGTCATCAGCTTCTCGGAGGTCAGAACTCTCTAACTTTGATAGAGAACAAGCCATAAAATCTGTGGACTTTTTTACAAACTGCTTTCCCACAAAATATGGCAGAATATTTCATCTTTTAACCAAAGTAGGAGCCTTACTCATACCTTGTCATCTATAAAAAACTGTGTTAATCTTCAGCTTCATAGCAGCTTTCTTCCATATAATGATGGGGTAATTTAAAAAAACTATAACTTACAGTGTTCCTGATCTTCCCTGTCTTCATTCAAAAAGAGTGTGAGTGGGATGATCACACTTGTGGCTGGTGGTTATTATGACTTGATGCTGGCACATCTCTGCTTCCTAACAGCTGTTTTGATATTTTTTCTCTAGTTTCCATTTATGCTGTTTTTCTTTGTTAAGTAATCTTGATTCTAAACAGCAACTCAAAATTACACTGCACCCTGTTTATTTAGTATTAAATACTTAGAGGATATTATTTATTTTGGTTTTTCCTTTTCCAGCAGTCACATGCTCTTAGGTGTTTCCTGTGTTTTCTCTGGTCTTTCCTGTAGTCTTAGTTGACAGCCCAACAAAACTGGGTGTTGATTTAAACACACTTTTGGTACTGCAAGTGGGATGACTGTCATTCACCACAAGTTCTATAGCCATGCTATAACTTGAATCCTAACTGCTCTGACTCAAATACTGGAATACAAGAGTACAAGTGTTGGTGTTTCTTAAAGTTAAGTGTAAATCAATAACAGAAAGCTGAAAATGTGCTCTTGGATTAACTGATGTCCGTTATCACTGGAACAAATTAACCGCTAGTCAAGGACAGTGCTTTGCCATTATAGACTTCAGTATTTTCCCTGTAAAGTGGTGATTCTTCCTAGTGGAATGAAAAAGAAAAGCAGTAAATGAGCTATTGGACAAATAGTAACACCCCATTTTAAATAGTCCCAATTACTGAAGTTTTTTAGGACAGCTGTTCCCTTCCTTATGCTCTCAGGTATCTCACTGCTTTAGCTGGGTAAGAGGAATTGCTGTCAGTGACTCAGTAGATTAATCATGAGATGCTAGAGTCTAGTTCAACATTTTCTGAGAATTAATGATTGGGATTTTGACTGAATAAGTAGCTACCTGTAGGATATATCTGCTTGGGATTGCCAGTACCTGCTTATAGTGGATGGGATGTGTTTCTTACGAATAGAAGCAGCAGTATGACAAGGACTTGATCTCTTAATTGAAAAGATTTGATTAGAATTGCATGTTTTCAAGTTTTTGCCTTAAGATGAGAAGCACTTATATTTTTAATTTTGCTTAACAGAGATAAAAATACATTATTTATACAGAAAACAGACATACAAGGAATTAAAATATAAAAAAAAATAGAAGTATTGGCAAGGATTATGCCTATTTGTGTATTCAATGAAAATAGCAAGCTATTGAAAACCAATTTTCCCTTGCAGTATATATTGTAAAGTTTCGTTTAAAAATGCAGTCAAAGAGCTAAACATAAGATAAAGAGAGGTGACATCTTCTGTAACCAAGGATGATAAAGGATAAAAGTCTATTTTGATGTTCAGAGAATTAGGCAGCAGGTTACACCAACAAGTTTTAATTTTCTGGTATGTGCTAAGAGAAGTGGCACAGTATCAAGATGCAGCAAATGGGATTACTTTCCAAAAAAAGAATTGCATACTGAGTTTAAAAGGCTTATTTAAATGGTACATTAACTACGAGGGAACAGCTGAGCCTGCAGTTGTTTTTGTAAAATCTTACTGGTTTGTTGTGCTGTTCCCTTGAGTTACTCAAGGGAGCAATGAATGGTCTCACCCCACTTTGCTAAGTGGCAAAGGACAAACAGCATCTTCTCTATAGCATATTTTCCAGGGTGCATTTCTTTCTGTGCAGGTAGAAACACCAATATGTACAAAAATGGGTATGGTGAAACCCACCTAACTCCCCTTTTTTAACATTGCAACTTTCAAACTTGATAGTGAAGAGGCTTATAATTTATCCTATTATCTAGATGGTGAAACAGGGAAAAAGCTTTCTCAAGGACACGTGGTACTTCAAGTAGTCATGACCAATTTATTTTTTGTCCCTCAATGAGTCTAGTTTCTCTCCCAAGGGGGTCCTGTTTTCGTGCCACTCTTGCATGTTCTGAGAACTGAACAGCTTTCTAACAGAGCAAGAATATGGGGTAATGTATATGTGGGTGGTTTGTTTTCTCAGTTTCATATTGAAAACACATGCAAATATTTACATGAGAAAACACAGCTGAAGTAATGCTCCTACACTAGCAGTTTAAGAAGTTTTGGAACTTGGGAGTTCTGTTCTTTGGAGCGGTAAGTGAGATTTCTTCTCTGTGCTGCTCCTGTGCACATTCTTTTCACCTTGCTACCCTAAATAGTCCCTTCCACTTGCCTTATTGCTCCTACTCACTGCCGTGTCTCTAAAAATAACCAGAAATCCTGCTTCAAAGGCTCAGACAAAGGCCATTTCCAAATGATTTCTCTCCTGGTATTCATGTAGGGCTCACTATAAGTTAGCTTTCGTTGGCAATTCACCAGAACACCAATATGTGTATTGTCTTCCCTGGGCTTGTGATGTAAAGATTAACATTTTGAGATATTCTTTCTGGGTTACCTCTGACATTGGAGCATTATGGGTCCCTCTTACCAAGCAGTGTGCTTTTCTTAGCCTGCTTCTCTCCCACCATGTTCAGAGGATCTGTGAATCACAGTGTCAGGTTGAGGCTCACAACCTGTAATACTGCATTTGATGAAAGGCCTCGACATGACATGTATCCTAATTCTTTACATTGAATCTTTTACAAACTGAAGATTTTTTTTCATTGTATAAAAATAGCAATTGCTAATTTGGCAACAATGTTTCCACCTTGATTTCTGGTAGCTGGATGGATGGATAGGTAGATTGGTTATTTTGTATTATAAAACATTTATAGTTGCTTCATCATATGCAAAGATTTTGTGTTAGATTTTTTAACTTCGGGATATATTTCCAGGTTTGAATTGAATACCTCCGCTATGTTGGAACGTGGTTCACTTGCAAGATGAAAGTTCTGGGAAAGTAGAGTGTAAAACAAAGGGTTTGGCAAATTCTACAAAGAACTTCTGAAAACTCATGTGAATATCATGTTCATGGCTACCTGCAGTTCATATTTGATTTTATATTCAGAAAAAATGTGAAAGAATTCTTTATCTCAGCTTTATGTAAGCTGTTGATGACGTCGATCTGATACTCACTGCTATCACATACCTCTTGTAACGATTTTCATGTGATAACCCACGACAGCCATAAAATTCTGGAATGAGACCTGGGCATAGGAGTAATACCTGCAGTAAGTTCGCTTAGTTGCGTTTGAGATAGTCTGAAGTGTGCCTTTTTTCTGCCTGACCTGGCCATAAACTGTTTTATTTTGCAAAAAAAAAAATCAATGTTATGTTCCTCTCAAAAGGAGTGAGAACTTCCTTCAGGTAAAGTCCCTAAATATTATATGCCCATTAGAGCTTTGTGGCTGGACTTCTGAGTACGTGGGAAGCAATTAAATGACCCTAGATGATAATTTTTCTTCTTTTACCAAAAAAGGATCTTCTAAGTACACACTGAAAGCAAATGTTATTATGCTGTTTGTGCACAGAATCTTAGCATTTTACATGTCCTGTAGGGACTTACGTTGAAAGCACAAACTTCCCTTAAAACAGACATTATTCCTACAGATCAGAAGGAACCTTGGCATTTCAGTCCTCCAACTGAAGTCAGAGTTGACTGCTTGGTATGTTGAAAATGTTTCCAAAGAGGCGGCAGCTGTTTGTTTGTTAGTCTGTTTGTTTTTAAATGGGATGTCTTTCACAGTCTAAGCAGCTTTGAATGCATCTGATTTTAAAGCCCACCAGACTGCGTACCTTCCACCCTGCAACAGAATTTCTGAGTTTCAGGTCTAAGAAGGAAGCAAGAGCTACAAGTGAAAAATGAAATATGGTGGTAATGCTTTACCTTTCTAGGTGGCACTTCAGAAATCTTCAAGCAAGTATCTGTGGAGGCAGGCCTGTCCTGTTGTGGCTCCTACAGAATATTGGTGGCTCAGAACTGAATTGGAACTGTTCCAGCTTTTTCACACAGAAAGATTACGTCCCTTAATTTACACTTATATACACAGGATCACAGGAAGCATTTCTCTGCTTGTTAGACAAATTTGTTATGGTGTACTTACACAGACATCTAGAATCTAGCATATGGTGCCAGTTCAAATAGAAGTCACAAACCAATGTCTTCTTTCCTTACATATTTAGGAAAATATCTCCAACTTTGATATCGTCATGGAGTCTGATGAGGGCACCTTCCAGCCATCTGGACTGGGTTTTACTGGCAGTGCTAAAGCTCGGGAGATCATGAAAGAGGTCATGACTCTGCTGCAGCCCATCAACGTTACAGACGTTTACGACAACGCAGATGGAACAGACATTGATTACTGGATGAGAGACGGGGTGCCTGGTGAGTGACACTGCGCCTCCCATGCAGTGGCACGTGCAAGGGATGGTCTGGTGTTTTGAAAACAGTAAGAAATGCTTTCTCCTGAGGAGTAAAATTTGCTGTAGGTAAAACACAGAAATGTTAAAAGATGACCAACAGAAATAGGACATAAAGTGAGTTTGAGCTGCAGTTCAATAATGGCATATAGATTATATGTAGCATAACATGCCTGAAATCTTCTTTTCAGCTTTAAGGATTTATAATAATTAATCCCAGACTGGTGGTTTATAAATAGTAAACTAAGGCAGAGGGGAATTCTCCAATGAAGAACAAATAATTATTTTATTATTAACATTTTGACTTTGAAATACAAGGCTTTTTCTCCTTGATTTATATGCTGAAGAAGAAATGTTTTTGAGACATGACATTTAAAAGGTCATGGGGCATTAAGGTGTGCAAAAGGGGTTAAATTCTGCAACATTTGAAGTAAGCTAGGGGTTTGTTTGGAGGATTGTATCTGGCTCCCAGTGAGGAGTAGCTTGTTGGCAAAAAGGCTTGCAAGCTCTGAGAGAGATCCACCACTGGCAGCCCCTCCCATGCAGGAGACCGACGCCACGCTAGCATGGGAGCTTGCAGAGCACAAGAGTTGCAATTAGAGGCCGGCCTGGGTGCAACCTTAGTGAATTTCCATTGTGGTTTCCACAGCTGAGTAACAGTAAAAAGAAAAGTTTCATAACACTGATATTAAAAAATTATGATCAGTTTTAAAATTTTAAGGTTCTTTTTCTCTGTTTTTTTATGACTGAAGTACACTGCTGCATTTCTCATGCTAGTTTTACTAGTAGTTACTATATGTTTAGAGTCTCCTAGTATTTTATTAACTGCTGTGTGTTTTACCTGGTCTTGTGGAAGACACCCTGGGTTACGGATATATGCTGCTCATTTATGGTCAGAACCCTTTGCTTCTCACTCACATGGTGTGTATAAAGATACCATAGAGTTAACTGCCTCTATAAATATGTGGATGTCTAATTTTCAAAGCTAAGTATCTGTGCTGTGCAAGAAATATGGTTGAACGGGTGTTGTTTAGCAGCTAGGGATGAATCTTTATCTGGCATGCTGCTTTCGAAGAGAGGTGGAAGCTTCTCAGTGCAGTGTCATACCACTGTGACATTGGTGTCCGCTCAGGTTCCTAGGCTCTGTGGGTGCATCTTATGTGAGTGTTAGCACCATATGCTGAGTCGAGCTGAGACTGGAAGCACTGCTGAGAGGCTGTAGCCTCATTGTCATCCAGGCCCGGAAGTGTGCGTGCCAAGACGTCTGGTCCAGAGCTTCAGACCAGCATGTCTGTGTAGCGGGAATATGCCAACTCAGCACTCAGTCTGTGCTTAGGAAATACAAGTGTATTAGGATTATTTCCTAGGTAAGGTGTTGGGAGCACTACAGATGGTGCGTTGGGACTTCTATTGTGCTTCCCATTCAAGTGTGAAGATTATGGAAGAAGAGAGGAAAAATTTACATTCAGATACCTGGTTTTCAGTTGATAATGTAAGTGTTGTTGTGATGGGGGTATGTATTGAGCTTTTGTGTACCACTTTTCATCAGCTGAGGTGCACCTAGAGCACAAGCAGCTAAGCTTGCTGTGGTCATCTCTATTAGTGACCTGAGCTACATGTGTAAAGTACACTCAGTAGGAGCAGGGCAGAAACAGGAGCCCTCTCAGATAGTAATCCATACTCCTCAGAAAGCAAAAACTGTGAAAAATATCATAATGCTATAAACTCAACCTTGGGAAAATATAAATACACCAGACCCAAGACCTCAGTTTTTAAATACCAAAATCTGGCACATAAATTGATGGCCTTTTTTTTTTTTGCTGTATGAAGCTTTGGTTCATTTAACTTCCCATTAAGCAAGTTACAAAGAGTTCTTGCAGCATAAAGGAACAGTGATTCTTTTTTTGCCTGTTGAGCCTTGGTGGAAAGGAATTAGCTCCACTAAAAGAATTTTGGTTGCTTTAGATTGTATTTCATACTGTAGGAGGGAGAAGTCTAAGACATCTTGTAATCTTCACGCCTTGTCTGAGATATTCTCACTGCTCGAATGAGCCCTTATGGTATATAATAACATTGGAACAAATTGAACACACTGTAACAGCTTTTATAATTTTGACCAATTTAAACAAGCAGTCAAGTGTTGACATTTTATCAATTTTATTTAAATATTTTCTTGAAAATACACTTAGTGGCTTTGTTTCTGCAACAGTGAGAGAAAAACGTGATGAACGACTTGAAAAACAAGGCAGGTTTCCAATATACTTTCTTTGGATTTTTTCTTCTTTTTGATTTTAAATAGATTCTGGGATTCACCTTTTTAGATGCTATTAAAATTCTGCTTCTCCTGCTCCTTTTGGTCTGAAGATCCACAAAGGGCAACAGTTTGTTTTTCAGAACTGCTCATAGCTGCTCCTGAGACAAGCAAAATTACTCTGGCTCCTTACTCTCTGCTGTTTATTTTTCAATTGGAGTGCAATGAAATGTTATTTGTAATGTTACTTAAACATTTGCAAGAAAACAGTGGTGTCTATTTTGAGATTTTAGGATGAGAGAGGCCAGGAGAGTTCAGGGAGTTTTGCAAACCAAAAGCTGAGGCTTAACTAATACCTCTAGAGCCCAAGCAAGGTGATGTACCAAACACAGCAGTTTAATGCTTTGTGATTGCAGAGTATTAGAAATATTTCAGTGAGTGGCCTTTAGGTTGGATTATTTTGAGAGCAGTTGAGGCCAGCGATGAGAAATGTCTGTAGCTGTGTTTTTCTAGTGATAGCCAGTTTTCAGCTACTGAAAATAGCTGTATAACATTCGGTTTGCTTTTTCATGAAGCATAAATGAAATAGGGTTTTTGTGGTGCCATATTTTACTCTGTGGTTTTGCAGTTTGAGGTGATCAATGATCCTAAGACTGCTTCTTTATTAATTATGCAATTGTCTTCCTCAGCTTTCTCTTTAAGTCTTCAATTACATATTTGTTTTTAGTTAGGGATACATCTAAACAGTGGCACATAAAGCTTTTCCTTTCCAACACCAAATCCTACTCGAGTTTGGCCAGAATTTGCAAATGTAAGTGCTGAGACAGGTTGGTTGAATTTATTAGGTTTCTTTGCATTCTTTTTCACAACAAGCTTCTTCAGTCTCTAAAAGGGTTAAAAAAATTTAAAAAGCCCTGCTACACCAGCACTCAGGCATTTTTGTTGAAAAAGCAAGGTATCTGATGTTCATGAGGATGCTTTGAATGTGATTTAGACCAGTTTGAATGTAAAAGCACAGGGGCTGAATCATCCTTCCCAGAAACTGAGAAGGGTGAATGGTGTGATGACATTTGTGCTGTGGTATTCAGTGAGCATTAGTTAGGCTTCAGGTGTTAGGGGAAAGGAAAGTGGGTGCTCTCCTGTTTTTGCAGAGGGAAGGTTGTTGTGAGACAGTATTTCCAAGAAGGCTGGTTTAAGGATGCTCCTTTCTGCCAGGCTCATCAGAGAGGTTGTCTGTTGCTGCAGTGCTTATGATGGGAACACTTGTTTGCTAGGAACTGAGCTGTATTTGAGATCGAGCTGACCCAGGACATCAAACAATGTGGCAAAAAGCACGTGGCAACTCCTCTATTTAAAATTCAACCAGTGACCTAAAGGTGAAACTCCTTTTTACAATGTCATTCTGAACCTCGATGGTTGGTCGTCTCTGTCTCCACAGTGACCGCGTCTTGCTTTTCTGTTACGTTACACAAGAGGAGGAATTATATTTCCAGAAACTAATAAACGGGTAGTTCATCAAACTTTAATGTTTCTTCAGAAATCAAAAATTCATTGCTAACCCAACCTATTAGTCATTTGCTCAGAGGTGGCAAACAAATACTGCTATATATCCTTTCTCTCATTTTTGTGTTTTCATTGTGCTTTATTACCTTCATCTAAAATAAGATATATTTTGGCCTTAGACACCAGACTTCAACATGCATAATTTGCTTTCTTCTTACATAGGAGGTTAAAACTTTCACTTCCACCCCTTTTCCAGAGCATGCTGCCCCCTTGTCCCTCTGTTCCAGTCATCCCTTATAGCACCGAACTCCAGTGTGAGCCTGCCAGCATGCTTGAGCCAAGCCTGCTCCTCTGCTTGATGTCAGCCAGGGGAAGTTTGAGAAAGTGGAGTCATGGGGAAGCTCCCTGGTTTAAGTTTGACAGCTGGGTGTGAAGAATCGGGTAAACTATTTCCAAAATTATAAGTGGATAACCTCTGTTCACACTTACCTGTATCACTGGAAGTGAGACTCCACTGTGATGCGTGAAACATTGCCCCTCAGCGTACCTGTCCTCAGACTTGGGCAGACTCTTTGGATCGAGTTTCCAAGCTTATTTTCATTGCCAAAAGAATAAAAACCGTAAAGAATAAAGAGGAAAAAATCAGATTCATATTATCTAGGAATTGATAGGCCAATGCTGAAAAGGCTTTGGTTTGATTGTTCACATGTAATGGATTATGCTTAACAAAGACTTCCTAGAAGATGAGGGAAAAAGAAAAAGGTTTCCTTAAAAACAGACATTAAGCTTAACTTCCTCACTTTAATACACAGTGTTTGTGTGATTTGTGATCTGCAATGTTTAGTGTAGGGTATCACATGGAGAGCTCCAGTTATTTGACCAAGTGACTAACAGAAGTGAAATGCTCCTCATGGAGCAAAACGTTGAACATGAATGCTACTCACAGAACTAGTTTTATGCATAGCATTATAAGTACTTAGATAAAACACCTCCACAGGTGCTACCTTTTTTATACTTGTCAAGTTCCCACTTCTCTGGACGTGTTGAAACACAGTGACAACACCAGCCACTATGGACCTGATTTATTTTTTTTTGTGGAAATGAGAAGCAAGGGGCTTATGATGTGCACCTATCACAGTATCACAGTATGTTAGAGATTGGAAGGGACCTCAAAAGATCATCTAGTCCAATCCCCCTGCCGGAGCAGGAAC